CTTATAAGAAAATCTGCATACGTTGTGCATACTAAGGGGGTCGTAGCATTGGAAGCCCTAATGTCGTGAGAAGGCACTTCCATTTGTCGGAAGAACCAATGCACATGCTTAACAGAGGACGGGGAAGAACATGGGAACCGAAATCCTCTTGATAACCAAATTGACAGACAATGTAAAGAGGCCACCACAACTCAACTCTTCGAGAGAGAGGATGGAGGTCGGTTCGTGATAGCGTCTACAACCGGGCTTACGAGATCGGCGGAGGCCTACGTCGTACATGCCTGTGTGTCCAATGGTAACCAGCTATTTATGTTCAAGCAACTTGTTAATGAGAGTTATGCCTCTGACGCTGTTTCTCTGTTTTAAACTTTCGTTTTCCTGCAGATGTAAAATGGGAAACATGCAAATGGAATTCAACGTAGAATTTATAGATTTTGAGGTGATGGCAAATCTTTGCTCCAAAAAAAATACTGCAACCTTCTTTATTACAGACGAAGATTTCTGTCTTCTGGGTTGTTGCGCTGTGTAGTCTGGTCGATGTTTACCAACGTTTCAGAGGTCATACTGCCTCCGTCTTTAGGGCGATTCCATCGACCAGACTACACAGCGCAACAACCCAGAAGACAGAAATCTTCATACTAAGAATCGCCCTGATGATGGAGGCAGTATGACCTCTGAAACGTTGGTAAACATCGACCAGATTACACAGCGCAACAACCCAGAAGACAGAAATCTTCATACTAAGAATCGCCCTGATGATGGAGGCAGTATGACCTCTGAAACGTTGGTAAACATCGACCAGACTACACAGCGCAACAACCCAGAAGACAGAAATCTTCATACTATCACCGTTGTGAAAACCTCAAATCTTCATTACAGACATTTGTGGATATACCAAGAATTCTCACTGCTCTTGGTCGATAAGTTGATTTTATATAAACAGACAGTCAGAGTAATTCAAGAAATACCATTTCCGACTGTAATTTTAATTTTCCTCTTTCAAGTTCAGTCACTGTCTTGAGACAGATCAGTTAATTGTACTTAGTCACAGTAAATGAACCCTGCAGTTAACAGACCTTTCTTAAACAACCCACAAATTTAATTTTAGTTCTTAACAGGACACATAACCCCTAACTTATATCAAATTCAAATCAGTGTCTACCAATATTTCAAAACCGCTTTATGGTAAAAGAAGCAGTGTTCATTAAGATGTATAGTTTAGTAAAACCATTTTCAATATAAAGACAATTTTACAAGGTGAGACAATTTACGACGAGACCTTCAGCATGCATCATATGTATCTGTTATGTCTCAATATGTGTTTATGTACATAATAATAAATTTCTGTCCTTAAAACCTGAACATCAACGTATGGATGAAAACTCTTAAAGAACGCGTTAGAAAATTAACCTAAACCACCAGAAAAAGCGTTGCTGTCACTGACGCGTGGCCCTCACACGGCACTGACAAACGCGAACAGACGTGCATTGCCAGGTAGCTGGGAGACCCGTTCTCAATGGGTCCCGGCCCCAAGATCACGCCCTTACCGACGAGCACGGAAATTATACGAATGCATCGCATCCAACAACAAAAACTATGCTATTTTATTTTTTATAAGACATACATGCCACGATATTTGAATATTGGTGGGGTTGCTTTGACCCTCTCTTTTGCATACGCAATTATTCTGGGTTGGAAGGTGCTCAAGAGAAAGACACCAGATGAAGAAAGAGAAACTCTGACATGGGCGGGTTGGGAACTGGAATCGTTAGGGTACGAACCAATATTTGGGAGGCAGAGCAGGCCAAGTCCAGTCGTATTACCTTATTTTATTGATGGCATGTTAGCCTATTTTCCCCTCCTGAACTTTATAAATGTTCCAAACTGGTTCTAAGTTACCATGCAAATAAAGTAAACGGTCTGAGTTCAGAGTTTCAGAAAGTGCACACAATGAACACATGTAGTAAAATGATCTATAGGTCCACATATTTCATTTCCGAAATTAAGTAACGAATTTATATTAAATTCCATACAGGCTTTGCAACTGAAATTTGTCCATCGAAATTAATTTTGATCCTTATCGGTACCACGAAACCTCTAATTTAGGCCTACATGCATAGAAAATCAGACTTCATTGTTTTGTCCAATGTTCTATAAAAGGCTCAGCGAACAGTTACATGATAGTCTAAATATAAATCAAATTAACATTTACAACATTTATCTAAAACCTATTTCGAAGTACCAAATATTTAATAAAATACAAACAAAAAATAATTTTCACCTTTATGACGAGTGATACGTTCGTGCGACTACATTTTTATCAATACATTGCATCTGTTTCAGAAGTTATTACTGCCACCATCATCAGGGCAACGAATACCGACCGCCCTGATAATGGAGGCAGTAAGCACCTTAAAGACGTCGGTTAATTTCTACGACACTATACGGCATCTTTGTACTCACCGCCGTGAGAATTGAAATCTCAAGAAATTATACTTGTATCTCAGTTCATCCAGGGAGTTTGAGATAAGTAAGAAATTACTTACTGACACAACCAGAAACTTTAACATTTACTGTCACTGTAACCTCCCAGATTTCGGAACATAAATAACAAAGAACTAGAACATCCGTACAGATCACGAAGTTCCTCGTGATGCAACAACCTAATTTACTCACTTCATGTCTCCTACAAGTAACTTTCTCACCACTTCTGTCTTCAAACACTTGTCAAAATAACCGTAAGAGCATGAAATAAAATGTTCATACAGAACAGACTCGACCTGGAGACCCTCCGAATGTGCTCAGCACAGAAGTGACGCCACTAGAAATCAGAGTAGTTGAGGTCAGTATGAGAAAGCTTCATCCATCAAACTGTGGAAGGTCTAAGGGGAGCCTCCGTCTGCCAGCCATATGCAGATGAGTGCAGGCAGCTTCTTTGCATACACCCTTTTTCATATTTTTTATGTATTTTCCCAGCATCCTACACCATCTCTCATACACCTGGTAGGATCGGAAGGGGCGGAGGTATGACTACGTGTTCTATCGCTGTTTTTATAACGCTACCATTTTTTAAAAATGAAAGAAAAAAAAAAAGGACTGGGATGCTGTCTTCATCCTGTCCTCCTTTGCATACATCAAACTACCATCCACCTTTTTTTTAGCGTCTTCCAATCCGCACCCATGGCACATTACGTTCCCTTTTTTATCCGAATAAAAATGAAGGGTGGTACTTTCCGTAACCCTTCACAGAAAATTTTATCATCACTCTTCTTCTGTTTGTCATGTAAGAAATTCTAACTACGTGGAACTTTTTTGTACTCCCGCTTTCCTCACAGCGTATATAAATTAAAGCTTGTCGGTCTAGTTCATTTTCAGTGTAATAGTAGAGACTATTGTTAACAAGTAATGTTACTTCTGCAAAGCCGCCGCAGAACACAGAGTCGCCAACACGTTTGCATGGGAAGGGCTTCCTCCGTACTGAATCAAATTGTAATTGTACAGCACATCCTCGAGGACGGTCCAAAGCATAATATGTGATTTACAACATCTGTCTAAAATGTCTTCGTCATATGTTTTTTTCTTAATTCTTTTATAAAGATACTTACTTAATGACGTGTATACCTTCAGCCACCCTTGAAGATCAGATGTTATCCACAGGAACGATTTCATAACAGTTCTCAGCAAAATATTTAACACGAATCTAATGTAATACATTTGGAGATATACGAGGAATGCTAATGTCAAAAAGTACAGTGCACTTTCGCTCAACCGGTGTAGGTTTCAATCGAAAAACATGTTAATCAATAGTCATCAACGTTTCGGAAGAACACACCGTCTACACGGCATTACAATACAAAGGCCACAGCCTACACTTCTAGGCTGTCAGGACCTTAGATCTCGAATGGATGGTCGGATGAATTACAAAACTGAATAGGCGTACTTTTTTAAAATTTGAATATCCTGCTGCCATTTCTTTTTACCACAAATGCCGACTGAACCGATCTGTTATCGAAGTCGGTTTCATGAACTGGCAAGATCTCTTGATCTCTGAGATTTTCGGTTTCCGTTCCGTGAGTACTTTCACGCATTTTGAAGTGGACCTAAATAAGCCTACAATTGAAATACACAAGACCTATTTCCTAACGGTTTCTGCAATTCATCATTCTTAAATAACATGACGTATTTCAAAGCATGTGAACATTTCGGAGGCTTTGAATATTAACATCGTCTTCTATACGTTATAAAACCCTTTTAATGGTATAAGACGTCACCTGTCTTGTCTACTGAATCTTTTAACGTGCCTAGGACTGCACATGTAGATGCACACGTTGGAACTAAGGAGGATGCAAATAACTTCAGACGGATTTCGAGAGAAAGAAAGGGTTTTCGTCGTTGTGCATGAAAAGGCGAGATTTTCCTTCGCATGGATATCGACATACCTTTCCCGCGATCACATACCCTCATTTCTCGTTGCGGTACCAACCATTCCCCATGTGCACACCTGACCAATTACGAACCTTTTAATAAAATTATATTTTTTCTCTCTCTCTCTTTTCATCATTTTATCTTACGGCCCTTTTCTGTTTATCGTTTACCTTCCCACGGCCTTGTAGATGCTTTGCATACGGAATACAGGACCACATTACGTATAAAAAGTGTAAAGCAAATCAGATCTAAAAGAAGGGGGCTGCCTTTCGTAGGTTGTGAGAAAACGAAGGGTTGAAAGTTAAAAAACAGCTTCTAACCCCCTCACTACAATATTATTTTTGTTCCCTTAGCTGCTTTGAATATATGCAGATAGTTTTGCATATGGTTCCAGATTCTTTAGACTTTTAAGGTCCGTATGCAGAGTAGGTCTGGCTCACCCCCCACCCCCCCAAACCCGCCAACTTTATACACACACTGCGTATAAAACTATTGACGACAGGGAGAGTTTTGAGCACAGGACCAGCCAGTGTTAATGCATGACTTCCTTCTCTTTTTTTACCCCTCGACCTTGTTCCTTTTGGTGTTGTGTTCTTAGGACCGCGTTATATGCATACTCAGAGGGGGTCCTATTCCCACCCTTCCTCTCTCTTTTTCTCATTTGTTCATTCCAAGAAACTCTCCCATTCTCGTCTTATCCCAGGGCCTGCCAGCGTGGTCTAACTGCCGGCCCGCGGCCCGCGTCTAGCCCGAGACCACTTGTAACAAGGCCCGCAAAATTATTTGTTAATTTTTTAGTAGTTACTACAAACTCATCTTCTTTCTCAATTCAGAAGTGTTTACAAAATCGTGATTCTTATTTCGTCTGCTGATTTATGCACAAATGCCACATATGATATTGACTTTAAAACCCTGCCTTGAAATTAAAGTCTTCCAGTTAAAAATTATGTCAGATACAAACTGTTGCAGGAGCAAATTTAAAATAAAGTGTGCGAATAGCTGTTTTTATAATTTATGCACATATAAAAATATGTATTTCGGTATCTCCTGAGGTAAATTACAGGTCCAGTACAGACAAAAACAGCCTTAATATCATGTCAAAGACAACAATTTCTTCAGCGACAAGCAAAAACTCATATCACTCAATGGAACACATACTCAGGTGTACAGTGTATGGACAATTGTACGCACGAATTTAGACGTAATGGAGGGATATCCAAGTGTTCACATCTTGAATCCATGAACAGATTACGATAAATTTTGTAACAGAAAATTAATTCTAAAAAATCATAAAGCATGCGTAACTTTGACGCTTCACGAATTGTGCGAACTTAATTAACGAAATATCCTTCGATTTTCGGAGTTGTAGCAATGTTGGAACTGGAGCTACAAAAAACCTTTTCTTCATGGAAATTTACTTGTCAGAAATTAATTGTGTGGAATTTCTCCTACCTTTGGGTCCTGTTCATTGGCCGGGCGCTGGAAATTGTAGAGTTCCCGGAGATGGGAATAGAGGTCAGCGTTCTCATATAACCCTCTGAACGGATTCCTGGTACTGAAGAAGTCAAGGTCAATATCTAAGATAAACGGATCGCCCTCACGTGCTATGTATTGGCGGAACATTTTTCCGAGTTCCTGGAAATCATCTTTCTGTAACAAATAAAAGAAAAGCCAGCCATGACAAGTTGTACACCTCACAACACAAATATCGACTTATGTTACACGTCATAGAAATTAAAGAGGACATCAGCAGGATGTCTGTCTAAAAAACGCGGTCATAGGTCTACACGTTTGACCGTACTACTCAGTTCCTGCTTCGTGTTAACAAATCTAGCATATCGATATATAGCTTTATACTTTTATTATTTACAAATGAATACGGCGTTAATGAGAATACATTTAAAATCGGATAAGGAATTAATATATTTATTTCTGCTAAGCAAGTAGCAGTCTTTATTATCTAACGGATGTTTCATTTGAAAGCTATAACCGCCATGTACCAATTTAGATCGCATCTAATTTAATTTTCCGTTCGCACCAACTTGGTAAAAACAGCACCGAGTCAGTGATGTTAAGATTAAAAAAGTCTCTGAAACGTGCCATTATGTTTTACTTGCAGTAATTCAAATGCCTTCGATAATTAAAAGAGGGCTGACTTCCAATTATGATGGTTGTTATTCTTTGTGTTCCTACCATATGGCAAGGGCGGCATTAACTTGCCTAAAAACAACAAAACATAACAAGCACCACGCATTCAAACCATGGCGGTACAATGAAGGACAGACAGAACATTTTTGATAACCACACTTAATTTCCTTCCCGATTCCTTAATTATTAGTAGGTTCAATAGACCACCGGAAATGTGGTTAGAAGAAAGGTTCTTCTAATTCCAAGAAAAACAATCCTTATTGAGAAACATAAAGTCGCTCAGCTGATAAAGAAATTCTTTGCTTCTTGTAAAATTATTAGTTTCATCACCATGTTTATAAAAGTCCACCGCTGGTCCCCATTCCGAGCCAGTTAAATCCAAGTACGATTTGAGGTTTCCACGCAGTGCGTTGTTGCCCTGTGCAGTCTAGTAGAAGTTTACCAGCGGTTCTGAGGTCCTTGCTGCCTCCATTATCACGGTAATCAGCAAGGACCTCTGAAACGTTGATAAACTTTTACCAGATCGCACAGGGCAACAAGTCAGAAGACATCCATCTTTAGTTAAAACCAGTTGATAAACGCACACACCCAAGTTTTTTAAAATCCATTTAAATATTAACCTCCCTTTTAAGACCAGGTCTTCCAAGCCGTCTCGTTCCTTAAGGTATAGGATCCTCTTTCGACATTCCCTAGTAAGTGTTATGTCTCGTTTGCTCACAATGAAAACTAAACACATAGTAGCTAGCAGCCATTGCTGTTCTAATGATGTAGATCAGTTCGCAGGTAAACAGTATGTACCTCTGGTACTCAGACCTCGTTACAAGTAGTATTCATTCAGCCTCATCACCTCGTAGCCATATTTGAATGGATCTAGTTAAGGAATCAATGTAATCTACAAAGCAGATGTAGGAAAATGTTGGACGTAGACCACATGTCACTGCGGCGGCGCAGAGGGTAAAGGCCCCGGAAGAATGACTGCCCTCAAAACATGTTAGTTATGCATATTAGAGAGTTTTCTTTGTTGGAGACAAATATCTCAAAGCAGGTACGAAATGAACAATGTGTATTAGTAGCTCTGAGTTTCTACGCAGCTTACCAAAACGAATATTCCTTGATGAAGACTGTGTAACATTCTTAAACTGAACGACCGAAAATAAAACACACTGTTGCCCCAAGATTGTCACAAGAAGAAGTATGTACCACTTTATTTTCAAACATCACGAGCAAGTTTAGTTCTTTCCTTAGAAAGATGTCGCATCCTCATAAATTCGTTGAGATTTTTCAGATGACTGTCTTCTGGGATGTTGAGTAGAGGTGAGAGGCAGTAAGTACCTCTGAAACGTC